TTTTTTTTCAAAATCCGAACTTCAATAAAACAAAGATTGAAAGAACATCCAAGCCTTGGCTACAGTCTGTGGGAGCAAGCTGGATTCTAATCTTATATGGTAGCTATTTCAACTCATGGGAAAACGGGCGCTTCACAGTAGTGCGCATCCAAGAGTTTACAAAGAGTTGGACAACCACAATGTGCAAAACCTGTCGACCCTTTCCCCGTGCCATTTCCAAACGCGCACTGGCTCGACAGATTTCGCTCATTTTGATTGGCCAACGCGCTGCAACCTTTTGGAGGTGCACTGTTCGCTCTTTGCACGCTGCTTCCATTGGCATGCAGAACCTTGATCTTTACACAAGCCGGTTCAGTGATTCCCGAGTATTGTGTTGCTTCGGAATTCTGCACGAGCTGCGTAGCTCTTATACAATGCGATTGGACAATATTTGAAAAGCGCAACGCACTTACATTGTTTTTCTGCGTACTTAGGCGGTGTCCGGGCCAAAACGGGCTTCCAGAGCTAGCTACGGCTGGTTCTATTATCTTCGCGTCTCCACACGATACTTCAGCACACTTTTCTCGAAACTAAGTAAAGTTTTCAGGGACCTGAAGTAATTCCTTGTGTTTAAGTATGGCACTCATATCAAATAGGGAGCCTGTACCAGTACTGAAACGGCGTAATAATGTTCTCATAGTTACGTGCGCATGGTAATTTTGTATTGTTACGTCTTAGATTTAAGCAACTTTGCCACCCCAGTGTTAGTAATGCGCATGCGACTGCCTTATTTGCATATTTCATGTAAAAGGCCATTGTAATAACTTGTAATGAGGGTTTCCCGTCAAATTTCACTCTCTTAGGAAGCGTCCGAGCGAGCTACTCGTGTTAACAAGAGTACACTCCTGAGCGCTCGAACGGCTGAAGTACGACCCCCGGGTCAGCGAGTATACACTGTCCCTAGAGAGGGAGTATATCTGCACCTGAGTGTAATGCGCAAGCATCCTCCTCGTGATCACAGTGGTAGCCGTGCGAACGCACCCTTAATGTTTCACGTTTTTGCTCGCTTACGAGTGCAGAAAAAAGCAGCGGCAATCAGCAACCATTTTGGGTATGGACTGGCATAGGAACTCATCCCGGAATTATAGCTGTGGAAATCTTGTGCTCCCTTGATTGCAGTCAAACTCTTGGATTGTTTTCAGACTGCCCGAGATCGGCTTGGCAACAGCGCTGGATTAAGGTAGCCGGCAAAACGTATTTTACAACTTATGTCAGATATTATTTGAGAATCAGGCCTACTTTACCGATGGTCGGTTTTGCGTCAGTCTGGTCTGCCTTGGCACTTGAGGATAGCTTGGCTACGTGCTGTGCGCTCAAGGTTCATGTCGGCTCAATTAGGCCAAGTTTTGCAATAGGTGTTTTTCCATGACTCTAATCATATTTTGTCGAGCCTGGGAAAGATCAGGAGGGCAAGAGGGTCAGACTGACGGTAACAACAACTGTCTGCTTCAATCAGTCGTTTGAATATCATAAACGTAACCATGGGCGTTGCCTGCGTCAAACGGGGCACGCATATGCTTCTGTTTTGTAGTTAAAGTTTAAACGGTGTACATGTTGGGGGTAAAGTTTATTG